GAATAAGAGGGTCCATACCATAAAGTGTTTTATTGGTATAACAATAGTAGTTTAAATTTGTACATTATTTTATATCAATATACATTTCCCATGGAGATAACATCTAAACTATAGTAATCTTACAACAGAGTGAAAGATTCAAATAAAAGAAAGTTTGGGATATTCAATACTGGTGAGGTTCACCTGGAGTAGTAGTGAGGCTTCACTTAGTTTGGAAGAAAGAAAGATATGGTGGGGGGGGGGGGGGGGGGGGGGGAGGAAGAATTTGGATTATTTAGTTTGGAAAAGTGAACACTATGGATTTGATAACAGTCAAATGTATAAAAGATTGCTACAAAGAGGATGTTGATAGATCAGGGCCAGGCAAAATATGGCCCACAGGCTGGATCCAGCCCACCAAGCACTTTCATCCAGCCTGCAGAGCCCATGAAGGAATTGTGCCCCTCCCAGCCCTTCTGCCCACAAGGGTGGGAGCAAGGCGCCCATGCATGCATGCACCCCCAAACATACTCTATTGTGCCTTGTTCCCACCCCTGTGGGCAGAAGGGCTCAGTCCTACCAGCATGCAGCTTCTGGGCAGAGCGGCTGCTGCCCCTGCTGTAGCCACCCCCATGGGAACCTGCTTGGCTTCCCAGACATCCAGCTTGCTCCAGGCAGCAGGTAGGGAAGCGGCAGGGGTGGGGGCCAGTGTGGGGCAGTGGAGCTGCAGCTGAGCAGAAGCACGGAGAGCAGTGCAGAGCCTACGCCGAGGGGAGTGGTGAGAACACAGAGCTTGGCTGGGCAGGGTGTGAGGGAGGATGGAAGGTGTGGGGACCACCTCCCCCCCCCCCCCCCCACACACGCACACACACTCCTCCACATGGTGCACAGCCCCTGCTGCTGGCAGCAAGAGCAGGCGGTAGGCACTCAGGGTGCTAGTGCCTGGCGCAGGCACTGGCATCCAGTGGGGCGTGGCTCTGGCTAGTGCTGCATGCAGAGGCGAGGAGCGCAGCCTGCCCGGCCCGGCTCTATTGTGGGGGCTTCAAGCCACGCACCTGCAGCTCCCACACACGTACTCGGGGAAGCCCCATGCTGGAGCCAGCTGTGTTCCCCTCCCCCTGCCGTGCAGGTCCCTGGGCTCTGTCGGGAGTGGAAGGAGCCCTGCCTCCTGCTTCCCTGTCGAGTCTAGAATGGGGCTTCACTTGGTGCAAGTGCAGGAGCTGCAGGCACACCACGTGGAGCCCCTGTGATAGAGGTGGGCCGGGCAGGCTGCTTTCCCTCACCCCCGCGCCACAGTGCTACCTGGAACCACGCCCTGCTCAGCACCAGCACCTGTGCCGGGCCCAAGGCCCCTGACCCCCCCCCCATGCCGCCTGCTGCTGCTACCAGCAGCGGGGGGCTGCGTGCCATGTCGGGAAGTGTGGGGGGGGGGCTACACTCCCCCCCCCCCCCCACAAACCTCACACACCCATGCCCTTCTTCCACAACCGCCACTGACATATGCACACCCCCCAACATAACATTCCACACAGCCACACCTTCACAACCCCCCACACATGCACCCCACCCCACCATACATACCCCCCAATCACCCTCTACAATATACAAAAGTAAGACTATTTTCAGTTATGCAATCACCTCTATATACACTACGCAAACACAAATCATGACAATTTTTTTTTTTGTAATAAAATTAAAACATATGTTATAGTAGGTGTTTGACTTTTAGTATATTTGTCTTTTTTTTATTCTAAGATGGCAAACCCTGCTCCCCACCCCCACGCAAAAGGAGTATTGTGCGGGTCCACTCCTCCTTCACAATGAACAGTTGTTTCACAGCACCCTTGCTTTGTTGACTATTCCCCTCAGCCTGATCCTGAGGGTACAGCAATCTTAACAGATGGGGTAAAAGCCTTTAGCTGTAATCACTTAGTCCCATGTCTTTAAAAGTTCCACCACACATCTCCATAATACAGCAGGTCTCTACATAGACTTTGATCAGTTGTGAAACATCCTGTAACAGTTTTGTATAGGAACAGCAACCAAGGATGACTCCTCCCCAGTGAGTACCCTAATCTCTAGACTATAGAATCATGCTTCATCTTGCTGTCTCTCTCTTTGGCTCAATACATCTTGAAGCCTCTTCTGCCCATTGGCACAGCTTCTACACGAGGGCTTGAGAGTACATTCCACCTACCTTAACATATAGCCTGCTGTTTGGGGCACTCTTTTGGGAGATGAAAAATGTGAATTTGAACCCCATCAGGCTAGGAAAAGAATAGAACAACTGCATGGTGCATTGCTCTCGGTGCATAGTTGTCATGGGAGACTTCAACTACCCGGACTTCTCATGGGAAGAGCACTTGGCCAAATCTGAACAGTCACAAAGCTCCTTCACATGCATGGATGAGCTCTACCTGACTCAAGCAGTCCATGGACTGACAACAGGTAAAGCGCTACTGGACCTGGTACTGGCCAAAGAATTTAAGGAAAGCTGGGAGACAGTGACCAGGAGCTGATCACTTTCACTATCCATTGCAAAGCTGGCAAGTCAGTCAGCAATGCAGACGTTCGCCACTTTAGAAAAGCTGACTTTGATAAGCTCAGGAGGCTTGTTGTCGAGGCCCTAAGGGGCCATGACTGGACAGGGAAGGGAGTCCAAGATGAGTGGTTGCTCTTTAAGGGAGCGATCCTGAAAGCACAAGGGATGTCTATCCTATCTTGGAGGAAAGGTAGCAAAAAGGCACATCAACCCCCTTGGCTCAGCAGGGAACTCATGGACCTTCTACATCTAAAAAGAGAGGCTTATAAAGGATGGAAGACAGGAATCACCACTAAAGAGGAGAATTCTGCACTGGTCCGTACCTGTAGAGAGTGAACCAGGAAAGCCAAGGCTGCAACCGAACTCCAACTGGCTACACATAGCAAAGATAATAAAAAGCCCTTTTTCAGATATGTGGAGAGTCAGAAGAAAAGCAAGGATAACATTGAACCCCTGCTAAACCAAATAGGACAACTGACAACCGACACGCAGGAAAAAGTGAGCCTGCTTAATGTGTACTGTGTGTCAGTTTTTCACAAGCCCAACGGGACTGCCCTGCCTAACATGATGCGGGATGGCCAGGGTGAGGGTAAATTTATACCCAACATCTGTGTAGACCTTGTAAAGGAACACCTTGAGAGACTGGACACCTTCAAGTCAGCTGGTCCTGACAGACTGCACCCCACAGTACTTAAGGAGCTGGTAGGCATCATAGCCCAGTCACTGGCAAGGATACTGGACAACTCATGATGCTCAGGTGAAGTACCCAAAGATTGGAAGAAGGCCAGTGTGATGCCTATCTTCAGGAAAGGGAGGAAAGTAGATCTGGGGAACTACAGGCCAATCAGCTTGATCTCAAATCCCTGGAAAGATTTTGGAAAAAATTATCAAAGAGGCCATCAGCAAGCTTGTCAAGAAATGGTAATGTACTGAGGGATAGCCAGCACAGGTTTGTTGCGAGTAGGTCCTGCCTGACCAATCTCATTTCCTTCTATGACCTGGCGACATATCACCTGGACAAGGAAGAAGAGATTGACATCATATATCTGGGACTTTAAAAAAGCCTTTGATCTCATCCCATGATCTTCTCACGCAAAAATTGGCCAACTGCAGCCTCCGCTACATCACAGTCCGATGGCTGGGGAACTGGCCCTGAGTCCAGACCCAAAGAGTGGTGGTCATTGGAAGCGAATCATCATGGCACTCCATGAACAGTGGTGTCCCTCAAGGCTCCATCCTTGGACCTGCACTCTTTAACCTCTTTATTAACGATGTGGACACTGATGTCAGAAGCAGACTGGCCAAGTTTGCCAATGACACCAAATTTTGGGGTAGAGCGTCCACATCCAAGGATAGGCTGGTGATCCAGGCTGACCTTGATAGACTTAGAAAGTTGGTGGACAAAAACTTGATGACATTCAATACGGAAAAATGCAAGGTCCTCCACCTCAAGTAAAAAACCCTGCATCACGCTTATAGGCTTGGCAGTGCTACGCATGCTAGCACCACAGCCAAAAGGGACTTGGGGGTCATGACTGACCACAAGATAATATGAGCCACCAATGCAATATTGCAGCTGGTAAAGCAAACAAAACTCTGGCTTGCATCTATAGATGTTTCTCAAGTAAATCGCAGGATGTCATCCTCCCGCTGTACTCAGCCTTGGTGAGGCCGCAGCTGGAGTACTGCATCCAATTCTGGGCTCCACAATTCAAGAAGGATATGGAGAAGCTTGAGAGAGTCCAGAGTAGAGCCACCTACATGATCAGAGGGCAAGAGAACAGGCCTTATGAAGAGAGACATGGGACTCTTCAGCCTGGAAAAGCACAGGCTCAGGGGTGACCTGGTGGCAGTCTATAAGTATATAAGGCATATGCATCAGGATCTGGGGGAACACCTGTTCACCAGAGTGCCCCAAGGGATAGCAAGGTCCAACAGTCAAACTCCAAGACCATTTTAGGTTGGACACAAGGAAAAACTTCTTTACTGTCTGAGCCCCCAAGGCCTGGAATAGACTCCCTCCAGAGGTGGATAAGCATCAACTCTGGGCACTTTTAAGAAACATCTAGATGCTTATCTTGTTGGCATCCTTTCACCCTAGCCAACTTCCTGCCCCTGGGGCAGGACTTGATGATCTTCCGAGGTCCCTTCCAGCCACATGAAATCTATAAGCCCAGCTCTCCTACTTCCTGAACAAGCACTGTGACCAGAACATTACAGAAAAGGGGGGCAGTGTCATCACCATCATCTTCCCATCTTCCACCTTTTTTTAAAAACAAAGTGGTCCCAACTCCATCTGTAGGGGGCCCAATCCTGTCAGCATGTGGCAAGTGTCTTAAGAGCAAGCCTACCAGTTCAGGCTCCTTAGGAAAATTTAGGCAGAAAAACAATCCATTTCCAAATCCCAATTGGGCTTCTACAAAAGCCAAATCCTGAGGTGGCTCAAGTCCTTTACTGGCTCTAGAATTTAAGTACTTACCTATGTCAAGGACTCTCTGTTTAGCTGTGTGCTGCCGTGAATGCCAGTATTTCCAGTACTTCAGCTGTTCGTCTCTGTTCTTATCTTCACTGAATACAACCATGACCACACTCTACAGAAAAGGGAAAGTAGAGAATACAGTACTGGCTATACCTCAAGTTTAATTAATTCTAAGATATCCATGTACTAGAAAAATCATGAACCTCTATAGAGCCCAGTAGCGCCTGCCCTGGAAGAGAACCATGTTCACTGTTTTGTTGTTTAGCTCTACAAGCGAGATGCATGCGATACCTTTCTATGCCAATTCTCTTTCCAGTCTGAATAAAGTGTCATCAAATACTTTAAATTTAATGAAATCTGGGCTTCTTAGAGAAAAAATGGTGGCCTCTAAAGCCAAAGGATCCCAGATTATGATTCTGACCAAGATATTTAATGAGGCTGTGTCATTAGAATGCCTTGTGCCTGTAGAAGACTACATAAGCCTAGGAAGGGATATATATCATATAATGAGAGCTCATCTAGGTAAAACATACAAAGCAGCAGCCAGTTTCATATTGCAGTCAATGGAGTGAGGGTGGGAGACAGTACATGACCTCCCTATAGAGAAATTAGAGATCCAGATTGAAATATAATTGTGAACGTCCTTACTTCTTGCTATGTAGTTTAAAAATAAGTAAATAAGTAGCACAGCTGAAAATATACACAGACAAAAATGTAGCATTTTAGTGCTAGAACAATCAACAACTTGCACAGATTAAATCCTGTAACACACAAATGTTTGACATAATTTAAAAACAGTGCTTTCATGTGATGAATGATCTCACACACACTGTATTTACTTGAATCTAAGGTGACTCTGAACTTGAGATGATCTCCCAATAATTAGATGCTAGACATGGAAAAATTCATAAATTTGTTTAAATTTTCCAAGTATCGAATCTAATTATTGAAGGGTCATCTTTAATTCATCCCTCCTGCTACTGCAGGGAGCCAGGCAGTGCAGAGGTAGGTGGCTGTGGGAAGGC